CAACCTTGAACCACATCTCATTGGGATTAGGTTGCTTGACTTCCCTCATCAACGAATAGTGTATAAGTTGAGGCTGCAGAATAATTTCATTACATTCCAAGAAATGTGATAAGCAAGTTTATGCCAGAATAGACCTTTGAACCGCATTGAACTTTGATGTGAAATTCGTCAGTACGTTTTTTACCACATTTGTTGTAATCTTCCCAGGAAACCACGACTCCTCTGGTGTAATGTATTTCCATTCCTGGGTCATAATACATGAATAACGAACATTATACATACATCAATAACTATGCACATCGAAGGATTGTGACCCAATGTTCATCAGAAAAAAATGCCACAGTAAAGAAGAATTGTGACCTTTGGGTCACAATCCAAAAAAATCCAGGAACATGATCATTGGGTCACAATCCAGAAAAAGTAGGTCACAATCAACAAAACAAGATTCATTATGTGAACAAAAAAAAGACTTACATTAATCGGATTCGATCTTCGAGGGTTTATAAGAGTTCTAGAGTTATCCTTGCGAGCTCTCTTCTCCAAGTTCGGTCGCGATTTACTAGGGATGTTCAATTTTTCTTCACTACACTCCTTCGCCACATTCGCCATTCCCCTGCTGCGTCGTGCGATTTCAGAGGGTTCACCGGCGTCGGAACGTACCTTCCAGTCACAACTTCTCGTTAACACCATAACTTCTACACACCGTCCGCAAAAAAAAACACGTCTCTTTCACCTCATTCTCTTATTTGAACGACCTTCACAGTAACACCGCCTTAACTTCTACATGTGGGTAATGTAGACAATATTCGATATCGGGGGTTTCTTTTGATTTCAAAATGAAGAATGATATGGTTTGGGTAAGAACCAATTTAGGATTTTTAGGAAGGGGCGAGACTTAAGGTGTTTAATCGGTTCTAGACAATTATGAAAGATATAGTTTACTTAATTAAAACTCTCTCTCTCCAATCTTCACGTAAAAAATGGGTGGTTATTAAAAATAAAAAAATATTTTTTTATTTCCTTAAAACCTGATTAGTAAAATATCAAACTTAAAATTAGAATTACGAAAATCGAATCTTAAATACCGGCCTGGCTGTAAATTCCTCTTCTAAATATCGGGATTCAATTGGGTCCGGTAGCATTTACGGCACGAAGTGCCCTCAATGAAACGGTCAAAAGAGCCCAAATTAGGGGGCCCGGAACTTAATCCCCTTAGTTCCAAGATCCTGTCATCACGCCCACCACTTGACTCCCTCGTTTACAAGTCTCCCTTCAGGAATTCAACTTTTCCCTTATAAATAATTCGCCCACCTAACTTTTCTCTTTGTCCCCCAATTTCCTCTGTTTCTGTGCTTGCTCTTTCCTCAATCTCTTCTCATCATTAATCCCTTTTCCATAGACACACACATATTTGAGAAGATGGGTGCTTTTGGTAGAGTTCTTGTAATGATGGCTATAGTGACGTTAACCAGAGTTTCTGCGGATCCAGACATGCTTCAAGATCTTTGTGTTGCGGATCTCACTTCTGGTATATTTTTAAACAAAACTCCTACTTGGTTCTTTCAAGAAAATTTACCTTCATTTCATGAACACGTAGGCTTCCAATAGTGGTTGGTTTAGTTTAGTTTTACTTTCTTTTTCGTAGTCCATTTTGCCATTGACTTTTTCTTCTCTAACTATTTTTCCAACTGCATGTCCAAGAGTAATTACAAATGTCTGTATCCAACAGCTGTGAAGGTGAATGGATTTACTTGCAAGTCCAATGTGACTGAAGAGGACTTCTTCTTCGCTGGCCTAGCTAAACCCGGAGCCACCAATAACTCCATGGGATTAGTGGTTACAGCAGCCAATGTGCAGAAAATTCCTGGCCTCAACACCCTCGGCGTGTCACTTTCGCGAGTCGACTATGCCCCTGGTGGCCTAAATCCGCCTCACACCCACCCGCGAGCCACCGAGATAGTTTTCGTGCTGAAAGGTAAATTGGATGTGGGATTCATCACCACAGCAAATGTCCTCATTTCCAAGTCAATCAAAAAGGGCGAAATCTTTGTTTTCCCTAAAGGCTTAGTTCACTTCCAGAAGAACAATGGGAAGGTGGCTGCCGCCGCAATTGCAGCCTTCAACAGCCAGTTGCCGGGGACGCAATCCATTGCCGCCGCATTGTTTGCTGCTTCACCACCTGTGCCTGACAATGTTCTCTCGAAGGCATTCCAAGTCGGTACAAAGGAAGTTGACAAAATCAAGTCCAAATTTGCACCCAAAAATTAGAATCTTGGTACATAAGATCGATATTCTTGACTTATGTTTGTTGCTGATAAAGATTTAAGGTAGTGTGTGTGTTTGTACTACAGATTTAAAACTTGAATGTTTGTAATAATCATCCGTGTGTCGTAGACATTGTGTCCTAACGTTCTACTGCATTTTTCTTGAGGAAACAAAAATTGCATCATAATATGGAGTGCTAATATCTTATTTTGAATGATTGGAATGTTGATTTGTTTTGATCTATTACGATATAGTCATGTCGATAAGACACTTATCAGACGTCTTTTGTTGTTTATAATTCATATACCATTTTAAATTAAATCTTAAAAGCACACAATTTTTTTAAAAAAACTTGATTGAAGTGATTTGTTTTCAGAGAAAAAATGAAAGTTGTGGTTAAACTAAACCAGCTGTCAACATTACTAGTAATCTTTAATCATTTTACAATCACGGGTAGGTAAATTTTCTATTATTTATCGAGTAATATTATTTAGTAGCATTGAGACTATTAGCTCAATTTATGTGACGTTAATGTAATATTAAATGAATCATTTAATTCTACTTTTCATTTGCAATCATGCTACATATACATAATCATTCACACAATCTTTTACACCCCCCTTACATGGAGGGGGTCCCACATACAATAAAATATTCGCGCACACTATTCGTGTGAGACAGGTGTACGTACACTTGGTGTACAAACAACTTTATCCTTTCATTTAACACCACATAAACTGAGGTTATAACCCCAATGAAACTAAATAGTATTATACTTATTTATCTGACTACTTAGAAGACTCTTTCTTCATAAATACTGGATTAGGACTCTTGAACTATTTGGTTGGCTCTGCTTATGCTTTTATTTTTAGATTAATTTCCTCCACAAATTCATATAGTACTTCCTAAACGACGTCCAATGTTCAAAATAGATTTTTAATCTCAAAAACAGATTCTGACTATTCGAAAGCCCACCAAATAGACTCTTAGTTTCGTTAATACTTGAAATAGTAATGACCTTATTTTTAAAATAATTCATATCTACTTCGGATTATAAAAATAGCACTTCGTCCAACCCTTCATTTAAAAGTTAATTTTCCGATTTGTTTCTTCGTTAAATATCGAACAATTCAAATTTCATAAGGACACAATATGTTTGTTCTAATACAATTTCAAGCCACCTCGTTTATAAATTTAAACTGTTTCAAGAGAAGACAAAAATAATCATAAATATACACAACACCCACTTACTCGACCCACGTTGCAAAGTGAGCACAACATGATTTGTATTGTTACCCGAAACATTGGGATCATTGTAGTTTAAGATAATATAACCAATAAGATTGTTTTGCCACCTCAAGGATTCTCTTTATTTGGTTGTCTCCACTCACATTTTTTATCTGCCAATCCCATATTTGATCTGCTGCTAAGCATGGGCCTCTTATTTTTTAAGCATATATCTTCAAGTTTATTATGTTATTCTCTAAAATAATAGTATTTAGCATCGGTGGTGCTATTGCATCAGTTTAGATTATCACATTTGATATATTCAATTAAATTGATCATTTTACTTTATATTTAAATGAATCCATAGTTTTATGAGATCTATTTGGCTAAATATATTGCACCACGTTTAGTTGCATGAAAGGTTACTCATTGTCACGCTAACAAGTTACACGCTAACAAGTTACACCCCCCAATTTTTATTTTTATTTTTTAATCATATTTTTATAGTCGACCTGCTGTTGATTAGCACATCTTATTCTTAATGAATTTTTCCATTCAATTTTTTTTTTTAAGAAGTAAAAAGGTTTATATACCCATTATATTTTTATAGAAGCAACAAATACAAAATCGTTGCTAAATATTTATTCCTCATTTTAAAACATGCTAACAGAATTTTTGGATGAAAATGATAGAAAAACAGAAAAGGAT